TATTAAGAGAGTCAGGTGAACTTGAAATGTTACGTAAAAAATGGTTTCAAACAAACCATTGTCCACATTCATATGAAACATCAACTTCAAAGACTGTTGATTCAATGCGTGGATTATTTTTAGTCTTTGCAATAACTACTTTTCTATCATTGTTATTATTTATATGGTCAAACCGATCTATTTTCAAGATCTATCTATCTGAACGGTTAGATCAAAAGAAATCGCTATTCCAAATTCGAATACCTTTCATAAAACATTGAAGAGCACGTTAAATTCGATAGTAGGTTTTATGCTATAGAAAATAGTTTGTTCAGTGTTGTTTGAAATTTTTTCGCTGGATTTACTCATGTTTTCTAATACCAACAATTAAAATCATATTCGGAATTTCATTAATATTTTTATTGTTTGTATACGATAATATTATTTATTAGATCGAACTAATAACACAGCAAAAATGTTGCTCAATTGTCGATATTTGAGTCTCTCAGAAACTTTTTTTTGAGCAAAACATTAATACATGCACAAAACTTTAGACTACATTTATTGTACAGTTTTGACCAATAACTCTCTTTGCTTGTCTTACTAAAAATTCAATTAAAATCTTTATTATTTTTTTTTCAGGGTGGAAACAAAACGACAGACATCAGCAACACTACAATGCATCCCAGTTTGACTGAGCATTGAACTGTCTTATGTTGAATAATATTTGACAATAAATATTAAAATAAAATAAAAAACCAATATAAGAAAGCAGAAATCTCCATTGTAATGCATAAAGGTTTTTTTTCATTCACATTCTCAGACGTCGAATCTTGTATTATTCATTTCGATACTCCATTCTCTTGGTAAAAAAACATCGTATGCTATTAATTTTCCCTACAAAACAGAATACTGCGTGGCTTCATGGTAAAAGGTTTATATTTGGCATACACCACGTTAGAATTTTGTCACTGCAGGTTGTGAATGTGACTAAAGGGAAAATGCACCCCAATACTCACACCCTTTGGGTACACAAATTTATTTAAATTAGATTTCGTTTTGCAATACTATCAATTTATAAATATGACTATATTCAACAAGGGTGGATATGGATGTTGATGTCATAGAAGAAAAGATCCACACCCACATCTACCCATACTCAAGACTGGTTCATTTATTTTTAAAAGAGTATCGCCAATCCTAGTCCTTAATAATCGAAGTACTGCAAAATATCCAATTTGTTTCGACTGAGTATGGAGGGAAAGACAAAGTAATAGAATGTAAAGTAAAGAATTTTCTGATATCTGTCATTTTTGTGTAATGTCCGATGTTATTGATATATTTCTTAATTTGACTGACAGTTAGAGAACTTGTAAAAAACCGATACGGAAGTCAAGACAGACAACATCTGTTGTATATCTGTATTTTGATATGTCTCATCATATTTTGTACTTTCGTATACAAAAATCAAATACAAAAATATATCAAAGTTTTAAAACGTATGAGAAAATCAAATGCACAATATTTGTTTCTTAGCGAAAAGTGCAAATGTGTACGTTTTAAAATTTATTAATTGTGTAAAATGAATTGAAAATATTAAATTTAAAGATGAGTTAAATATTTCTGTATTATAATAATATTTTATTTTAGTTAGCATGCTATTTACAATGTGCATTTGAAATTTTAAATAAAATTAAATCATAATATCAAAAGTATTTAGTTTCTTTTGAGTTTAAACAATTTTCAAATTACCTTTGCACTTGAAATTCTATTTCAGAATAATAACAATTAATTCTAATTGGTAATAATCAAAAGATACCCTTGAAAAAAAAGAGTACTTTAATTTATTTTGTTTAGTCTTGTCTAAATGATTTGGTATTTTTGAAAAAAAAATAATAATTTTTTATTCATTTGAGAATCTGAAGAAAAGTTCGAGTAGACTTGTAGTATATACCACCTCGGGATGATTATGAACGTGTAGACATGAATTTCTTGACTGTATGACTTAGTGCTCTGAATGATACGTAAGTGGTATATCATATGTATGTATTCAAATCTGTCCATCATCCTTATCTATTCTAAATTTGACTAGTCCGAACTCAACCAATACATCAGATCACAACGCATTCTGTGTACTCTTATTTTTTTTTTTATTTAAAATCGTTTTTTGATAGACTTCAGGAGGATAAAATATGCCTAGTCTTTTTCTTAAGAAAGCTATACGTAACAAACAAAATGATGCCCATCAGTTAATCAGTCAAGACGTGAGCTATGGACTACAATTGATTTCGGACTAGGCATGTACAAGAACTTTTCGAGAAAAAATCTAGACAAGATGTATCGAGACGATTAGAAATAGGACTGGTCGTTTTACTCGCAATTTGCTCACCTGGGTCATTTATTTTAAAAACTAAGTGTTGAGTAGCTTTTGTCGATAGCTCCATATGTTTATGTGCGTTTTTTACTTGTCCATGTCGATAATATTTGAATGCTGCATTTTTCTGCAAAATCAGCTTACGTTAATAAGCGATAAACTGAGCAAGCAAACAGTATAACGTCATCAATGGGAAGAATACCTGAAATATTTTTTTACGTTTCAATAATTCATACATTACCGCAGTAACTATGCGTATTGTAGATGAAAGGAGGGTGTCTTGTTTACATAGCATGTTTGTTTTCCGTTTTGACGAGTATGAAGAACGAACAGAAAAATTTTAGACAACATCGAACGCATTATAAAGTAAAATAATTCGATTTCATTACTAAAAGATTTTTCAATATGAATATCAATTAATATCATCTTTTATAGACAGACGACTTCTACATTTACATGAATTAAAATATGTAAAAAAAACATTGCGCGATATTGTAAAGCATAAAACTGCTAGTACGCTATATAACGAAGAGAACAGCTTTCAAAAATTAATAAATTCAATATATTACTTAGCATAAAACAATAAATTATTTAACCATATTAGTTTTTTCATATCTTCTCTCATTCTATCGTCATTATTTTTACTGAAAATTATACAATTGTCATTAATTTCGTTTTTATTCCACAACAATTGGTTTACGAAATCAATATAATAATAATTTGTCAATCACCATACAGACATATTATGATTAGAGTTATAACGTAACCGATCTATGTTCCTAACATATCCTTCTATTGACAGTTACATATTAGAAAAATATCATGATCATGATACTTAGAATTCAATCTTATAGCAAAACCGTCCTCAGAAAAAAAACATTACCGACGACAACATCAATAACAGAAAATTTATGCCTAGCAGACCAACATCATATGAAAAGCAATTCGTTCTCATTTTTGTTTCGCATAAAACAGCTATCGAGCACGGCAAACGAAACATCAAGAGTAACGCAAGAACTATTTTTCAACCATCGAAAAACATTGAACGAAATATGTGAAAGAATAAAATATTACAAATAATGGACTGTATATTTCAGTCAGATTTATGACAAAAACAATCATTGAAATTCATAGAATCTGGTTGACAAAATTTTTTTTTCTTAAAAAATATTAGAACAAAGATCTTATTTTTAAAATTAAAATAAAACATTATAAGTAAAGATAATCTTTCACGCTTTTGATATTTGACTTGTTTTCAAACAGTGTGTAAGTATGGATGTAGGGTTTGAGTGTCAGAATAGGAGAGTCACCTACACTCACCCCATCATACAGTTGAATTCATTATCTTTTCTATTTATAAGTAATAGATTCGTCTCCATATTTTGATAGAGTAATTGTTTTTTAAATATTCAATCAAAACTTTACAAGCATTTGTTATTTTTTTTTGTATTCAAAATGTTAAAGAAATTGGTTTTTTACAGTGTGCTGATAAAGGATGTGCGTGTACATGAAAGTCTTTTCTTTACTCACACCCACATCCATAATTTAAATCATATTTTAATGTAACAGTTGTATCTTCATCAAATTTTCATCGAAAATACATATTAAATTAAAATTATGAATATCGAAAAAAAGAGAAATTCTCAGATGACTAATTCTAAACGTGTTCGAAAAATTATTGACAGATAATTTAGCATTTTTTTGTCAAATTAAAGCCTATATATATGTAAAAGATGGTGGAAAAAGTTTAATAACAACGTATTTTTTTATTCTTTGTCTTGTATAATGTTAAACAACTAGATCGAAAATACAGATGATTTTTAGCAGAATGTCTACGAAAACAGTCATCTTAAAACCAATACTGATTAAGTCTTTATATATTACTTACCTGAATATCCAAGAGAATTTTATAGTCGATCAAATTAGCTGTTGAACAAGTATTTTGAGTAACTAAATATAGCTTATATATATACTGAACGGATTATGTTCACGATACTAGTTATCTTGAAAAAATGAACTGCTCAACTCTTGTCGAGAAAAAGCATACTGAAAAACATCATATTACCATTCAGTGAAGTTTCTCAATGAATTTCAACAACTATTAAAAATTCAGAAAAATCAAATTTTTTTAATTAAGATTTTATTACCTTCGATGCGAATCAATCAGTAATTCTTCACATGATTCAATAACTAAGTCAAGATTCTCTGTTAATTAATTTAATTGAAATACCTGTTGATTATCATATTCTTTGTAGTTGTTGAGTCATCATTTTAAAGAATATGTTGTGAACATTGAGTCATATCAATTAATTTTTTTTCGAATTTGTTCACTCGCTTTTTTATTATGATATTTCGTTGTTTAGTTCTCTTGTGCGATACTAGGTTCAGAAACTTATTCTAATATTCGTTCTTCTTTATCAATCTCTGAAGACTTTTTTCCGAACCATGACCTTCTTCATAACCTATCTAAATAGTTCATTATTAGCGTATGTGTAAAACAACAGAAAACACAGCATCAGACAACAAGTAAACAAAAACAATAAGAATTCAGGTTTTTCTTCAAATCATGCACATCCTAGACACACATCAACTGGCGCAATAATGTATGAGAATGATGAGATATGTTTAATCTGAAGAAATACCAATTTTATTGATAATAATCTAACAAAAATTATAAAAAAAAATTTGAAATAAAAAAAGTAAAAATATTTGATATAAAGATAAACTGTTCATTCTGAAGGATTAATTGTTCTTTTAAATATTTTTGTTGTCGGTAACGTTCTATAAAAGAAAATTCAATGTTTTTTATGGAATGAAAAGATCCTTAATTACACTCACCCAATGATATTCTCATTATCTTCATTCTGACGTTTACTAGTCATTTCATGTATGAGGATATTATCTGAAAACATTTAATTATCATTAATAATTCATTCAATACGAAAAACAAAAACAAAAATATACTTTGTTGTAATTCATTATTTTCTGGATAAGAAGTTTGCATCATATTAATCGATTCATTTACTAAAATATTAACAAAACAAAATTTCAACAATTCAATAAATAATTTTCCTACTATCAATCAATTCCATTGATTGCACAATTGAATGTGTATACGATTTTGGATGACTAAAAGTATTCATTCCAACATCTTGCAGACAAAATCGTACAAAAAAATGATTGAAATCTAAAAAAAAACAATATTTTATATTAGTCATTTTACAAATTATTATTTCAATCTGTTTAATTTTGTGATATGTAAAAACGTGTTTCAAAGTAAAACAGTGAGTGTAACTTTTTTTTGTTCTTATCTCAGGTCAGTGGATACAAGTCTGTTCACATACAGAAAATATGTTGCACAGCAATTATAAAAGTTCTTCGTACATTCTAGAAACTTGTCAAGTATTCCATCAACTTCCAATACTCTAGATTTTGATTTTTGAAGCATTTAAATAAAGTTCTTATCAATATTGATGATTAGTTATGTTAAAGTCAACATGCAGCGTACAGAAAAAATACAAACTGATTGATTTATAATTTTAGACCAAAATCAATAGGAAAATTTCAGACTTCATCGTGATATATGATAGTACATTGAATGATTCAATAAGTATGTACAGCAGATTAATATGGGAGTTAAGTCACCAAAAAAAATAGAAATAAAAACATCAAATAAATAATTAACAAATACTAACCAGTCGAATAAAAGTTAGAACGCCAGAAAAAATCAAATAAAAGAAAAGAAAAGAAAGAAATGTATATCCGATATCGAGAAATAAATAGCATTAAGGATATTCTGACGATCAAATATCTTTAAAGAGGAATTCTCAATGATAGAAGACGTACTGAACCGATTTTTCAACGCTGAAATCGAACCGAGCCGGACTCAAACCAATGAAATCACCCTCCACTTTGTCTCTGATATGAAGTCTACCTTTCAACTTATTAAAAGCTACACTAGTAATTTGTTTTGTTCAATTGAATGTGTATAAAAGAACTATTTTGTTATAGTTATCATTCTAATACCTGTGATATTATCTTGGTTTGATAATGGTTTCAATTGAAGACCATTGTGAATCTGTTGCTGATTAGATAAACGTTCCTTGATAATAGTGAGCTGCAGACTACATAAAAAAAAAAGGAATAATTGTATTCTATTATATTTATCTAACAACGAATAGATATCGATCATTGAACATGGAACTTACTTAATTGAATCAATATTCACTTTAAAATATGCTGGATTTTGAATATCATTTTCAAAAGCAATTTTATAGATATAACTTAAATCATCATTTGTTATCAGTGAAACTTCAAGTAGTTTGAAACCAGATTTTAACGTGCAATGATATATTTGTGGAATCTATATATTAAGAGAAAAATATATTTAATCAATGTTTTCTTTTTTCAATATATTACTTCAAGAAGAAATTGTATTATACAACGATTGTTTTCATTAAGTGAAGCATCTTCATTAATAATTTTCATATCCACAATTTTGAGTTGGCATTCATTATAATTCCATGTTGTTGGTGAATCATCAGAATTGACTAGGAAAATATCAATGATTATATTGAAAACTATATATCAATATTAAAATACCTCCAATAAAAATATTTGAGATGATAACAGGTGAATTTGGAATAGTAAGATATGAAACTCCATCTGGTTGAAGTTCAACTGGACGAATTCCAAGAACTAGATTATCAAGTTGATAAGTTTTATTAAACTGTCTTGGTGTTATATCTATTGAGTTTTCTTCACCTGAAATATATAAAATATACAGATAAAGAATGATGAATAACTATTCATACCAGATGGATAATATTTAATTGTGCATTTAGGAGTTTTCGTCCAATGATATTGTTTATCAGATTCACTGTTACGTAATAAATCTTGTTGACATTTTTTAGCAATCATTGATTTTAGTCTACATAAAAAAAAATTCATCAAAATATAAACAAAATTCGATAAACAATATTTACTTGATAAAATTACATTCAACATCTAATTGGTTAGATTCAAGATAAATTGGATTAGAAAATTTTTTCGCATCAGGCATATTTGGAGTATAAAAAGTATGACGACTATAAATACATCTATTGTCAGGCGTCTTCGAAAGTAAACTAATTTCAAGATGTCGATTGGTGAATAAACTATCAGGCTAAATTCTACAGTCAAAATTTCATAATTATTTCTATATATACTTACTCCAATAAATATTGAACTTTCTTCAAAATAATCTTTTATATGAGCCATTTTACCTGACATTTTATTATTAATCAATTCACGTTCATATCGTACACGAGTTTTTGGCGCAATAGGATGACGTAAATAACCACAAGGTGTTACATCTAGTTAGAATATAGAATAAGTAGATGCTATTTAATTGTATACTTACTGCCTGATGGACATGTTTCTGTATTTGTCAAAGTATTTTGTGATATTTCATTAGAGAATGATTGTAATGGTAAATATAAATTATTAATTAATGATGTATTATGTTCTTGTTGATTTTCTATAATAAAATTGAATTATAAGAATTGAATTTTTATTTTCTTTAAAAATCAAAATATATATACCAGATTCTGTAAAATGATCATTTGCCACAGTAGAAAAATCTGAAAAACAATAAGAAAAAATTATTGAAGAAAAATGATTTGATTTTCTTGTTTTCACCGGTGATGCTAGATATTTGTTGATCAGTAGGTTCTTCGACAATAGGATCTGTGATATTCTCATGTGCCACACCACGTCTCCAAAATTCCTCAAGATCTGGTATCGATTCATTCGTCTCACCTATATTTAGAAAACAAATATGCCTAGTAAACCTTGCTCTTCTTTATATAAAATAATACACACTATGTATTGTTTCTGTTGTGGGCAGATGCTCATCATTTTGGAAAGTTTCTTGTTCGGAATACTCTATCCATACATCTTGAAGGCTTAAAGACGGTTGAGAAGGAATATCTAATTTGAAAAAAAAAGGAATTTTTAAAGAAACTTTATTGCTATCAATAAATATTACCATTTATAGTTGTGTGTGATGGCACCTGATTTTCTAAAGATGTTATTGTTGGTTGTATCTCTACGAGAACAAAATAAATCTATTCTATTAATATATTAAAATAAATGAAATATTTACCAGTAGATGTATCCGCAAGAACACTTGACAAATCTGACTCAACCTCAGAATCAAAAATAAAATTTTTATTATTATTTGCGATATTATATAAATCTGGTAATGGCGAAGTCTTCAATGGTGATTCATTATCTAAATTAAATATTGTCGATTTCTAATCGATTAAATAATTATTTACTCACTATCAAAATTGATAATAAGATTATAATTTTTGTTATTCCTAGAAATATATACATATTTAATAAGATACATTAAACTACGACATTTTATTTTAAGATGTAGTTAAAAGTGACTTACATTTTATGAAGATTTGTTTTTATAGTAAAAGAAATCAAAATTTCCAACACTCTTTTATGTTTTGTTCATATGCTTGGAAAAAACGTGACATCGAGGGATGAAACAGTACGAAACACAACAAGAAATGTGACGCCACACTTGTGATTATTGCATCAGACATTTCCATATACGATCCAATCATTATACGATTTTAGAGGTTTCTATGCTTTACAATAATATATCGTTTTCACATTCCACTTATATGATATGTATTTAAAAACATTCTTGTGAAATGTAGAAACAAATTGTTCAGGGATGATGTTCGCATCTTTTTTTTCAGTTACATTATTTGGTGTTCAATAAAGAAAAGGGTGGCATTATTTTCTTTTTGTATCATATATAAAATACGCAATCAAATTTAAAAATATAATCAGTTAACGAAAAATTCTATGTAATATAATTTTTTACATGGTTTATTTTTGTTTTAATATATTGACGGGAATTTTCGATCTTAAACGATCATTATTATTAACCTATACTAGGACAAATAACAAATGTTACAAACAAAAAGGCAAACAAGAAGAATAACAGAAAGAAAAAAGTGATGGAATAGTTTTAATATATATGCAAACATCATAATCTTAACATTATAATCTATGGAATCCAGTATTAATTTTGGATTTATAATAGATATGATATAATAGGATAGATCATGAATAAAACAAAATAAATCGTTTAAAATTATACAACCTAGATTTTTTTGTTAACTGATATTAACTATAGAAACTTAAGATTACACACATTTCTTCATACATTATTATAAAAATAAAATATTCATTATTTATTATATTTGATTAAATATATTTAACATTCTAATTGTAACAAGCATCATCTTCGTTAGCATATATTTTCATTATATTTTTGTGTTTCTAATTCAAAAGTTGTAGTTAGACTGTTTGAACGATGTTTGTGCCACTAATGTTTTGCACTACGTTAGGTGTATACGGTCCAGATCCTATTTCATAGATACACATTACTGGACAATGGTCAGACACCGAATATCCTCCTGTACAAATCAAATTTCTTAATACATTCGCTAAAATAGGACGTGCATAATTGTTTTGCGTTATCCAATCTAATGGGCAATCACCAAGAAAATCTTCTTTAGGTGTACTAGGACGTTGTGGATGAGTAGGAAGACAAGGTAATCGTAATGCACTAAAACAATCAATAAAACCAGCTTCATGTAAAATACGTCGTGGATGAAAATTTTCATTTAAATCTCCCATAAATAACATAGCTAAATGAGGATCACCAAACTTTGATTGTAAAGCGTGTAAAGCTGTTGCTGTACGTTGTGCTTGTTGTTGACGTAGATTAATATTTGTTGTATGCTCTTCTGCATGACCTTCCCATGTATAATGTGCAGTTGCTATCAAAATTTGTTGAGTAATGATCTTTTCTGATTTCATTTGTTCTTCAGTTGTCAGTTTAAGTGTTTTAACTTTTAAAAGTACCCAAAACAGACGTCGTAATGGTTCTTTCATACCAATATCAACAATACCATATTCTACTATATCAAATAAATTTCCATTCCAATATATATTACTCTCATTCTGCCAACCAGCAAAATCATCTTTAATATATGCATGAGATGGCAAAGCTTCAACAATAAGATCATGAAATAATGGATGTAATTCTTGTACACACAATATGTCAGGTGTAAATGTGGTTAAACATTCAAGAAGAGGTAGACGACGATGCGGCCAATTTCCAGGATAATTACTGACTCTCCACATGTTGAAAGTCATTACTGATATACGATGTACGCTCAAGGCCATATCTTCAATGGAAAAATGAAAAAAAATATAGATATGAACATTACAAATAAAAAATAAAATCAAATAAATCAGAATCAAGATATTGATGAAGTTCTTTTCACGAATATATGATTGAAGAAGAATCAATGTTTTATTGTAAAAATATAAACGATTGGTCTAGTACTCTACTATATGTGCATGTACATCGATGTTGTGAAAATAGAAATAAGGTCAAGGAGAGAAAAAGAGGAAAGAAAAAAAAAAGAACGTATAGACTCATAAATGCTAGTGGAGCCTTTTTTCTACCAGAACATTAATATGCATCCAAGAAACAGAAAAAAATACTGCAGCTATGCTTTGCTTGTAATGTGCTTCCATAGTAAAAAAAAAGATTTTCTTTTTGTGATTATTTATGATGCATTTGATTCGATAAAACTAATTTTATACGATATTACATATGCAAATATAAATGGACATGAACGTGACAAGATAAAGCATTTTTTTTTACGAAACTTGAGTAAGAAATAAGACTTCAAATTATTTGGAAAATATTGTAAATGATCCTCGTTTGTTGAAAATAGATTTATAAGAAAAGATTTAGATCAGTTATTATTCTAAACAATGTACGCGCATAGGAAAAAAGTCTAGTTTGATTATCATGTAGGTGAACAATTCTAAACAGTAACGCAACCTTTGAATTCCTCGACTTATACTAATTATATGGAATTCTGTCACTTTCAACATGATTTGTATGAAGGTTTTTTCTTTTCTTACAAAAGATAAACATAAGAGTGTTTTTTCCACGAGCAAAAAACCATTACAGTTTATATCGGAATATTTCTCCTGACTAACGATTATAAAATAGGTTTACCAGAGTTTTTCTTTTATTTTTTTCAACTTCTTGTGTTGCTGTTCATCTCTGATATTTTCTTAATCATTTCGTGTTTACAATATAATATCGATGATGCAATAATACTGGATGATTTTCTTAGTATTTGTCAATGAAAAACTACAAAATATTGTCATGATTCTTAAGTGTTAGAAAAACAGCAAGAAATCATGTCATGTTTTTCTTTATTTGAGTCAATGAAAATCTTCTCAAAGGTGAAACCATTTCATTTTGATAATCGTCTGGCGAACGTTGAGATGTAAAAGATGACATCGACATAATATTTTCTCAAATTTCAAAGTATTTCTTTCTTAAAACAAAGTACTGTACATGATCTACATATGACATTTAATTTTTATTTGAGAAGATGAGACGATTTCCCCTATTTTGCTCGTAAGATTTACCGTTTAGCGTTCTTGTTGCTTTTTCTGATTATTATGATTAGATAAGAATGGTAAATAATATCTCGAAACAAAATGAAGAATTCAAAGTAAACTTTGTCATCGAGTTTTTCTCTTTTTACTAAGAAGTTCATTATTGTTTATTTCAGATAAATAAGATGATCAATTCTTCTAATGGTGTTTTGAGATTTCAATAATTATGTTCATTCATTTTACCAATCTATTTATTGATTGAATCTGTAAGTGTTGAATTTTATCAGAAACATTTTAGAAAAGAATAGTTTGATCTTCTGTATCTTTTATTGTTGGCAGTTCTGTAATCTAAGATAAGTAGATGCTCAATTTATTCTTATCTACATCGAGTCAACAATTTAATCGTAGAGTCATCTTTTGTTCCATCTAAATGGGTTAGAATTCCCTTAATATATTATACATCTTGTAAACTCCTGTTTTAATAATCAATATTTTTAAAATTGAAAAGACAACTTTTCTTCGTTTTGTTTCAAGTCTATAGAGTCACATTTGATTGCTAGAAATGCCTTGTATTTTGTTTACTATAGTGCTGAATTTTGTGTAATTATAGCGCTACTCACTTATTGGTCGAGATTTAATAATTTATTTTATGTTATTTTAAAATATTTGCATTTGCATATAGAAAATTTTTCGTTTTTAACAATTATTTTCCAGCGAATATTAGAATTGTATGAATTTTATTCCTCTGTTGATAACTAATCGGGATTCATGTTTGTCGCTATGAAACCCCTAAGTATGAAACATACTCTATGTCGGTTCGTTTACAATGACGGAAATTATTTGACTTTTTTTGAATTTTCTCTCAAAAAAATGGATATATATAATTCAAAACTACAATCTTAAATTGACATTTAACTATAGCTATTGTAACATAATCGTATTATTTTTCTGAGAATTTCAAAAATTTGTGCAATCTCTTTTTGTTTCTAATTTAAATACTTTTATAACTTCTAGAATTGATCATATAGTTTCAATGATATGTGAATTTTTTAGAATACTTGTAGATAAACAAAGATTATGATTTCGGAAATAAAGAAAACTCTAATTTTTGTAATAGTGTAGAGTATCACTTTCTTTTAAGAATATCTAAAATATTACAATCGGTATTCAAATTTGGAAAGCAAATCAGGAATCTCTTGAACGATGGATAATCCAACAGGAACTATAAATTCACTATATCAATATGAAAATATTGAAGATAACATATTAAATAAATTGGAAAAGTTACGTCAGCACTATCCTGAACGTTTTCCACTATTGATTCATGTACTAGCAACTGTTCACGATACTATAGATGGTGAATGGCAGCAACGATTACGACAAGCAATGGAACAGCGAAATAGAGTCTCTATTTTTCTCATTCCTGATCAAATGTCTAATTTTAATTGGATTGTAGTCATAATTAAATTTAAAACAGACGGACAAGTTGAACGAGCTGAATTTATTGATCCACTTAGAGAGTCGAATTTGGATATCGACAAATTACAAATACAATTTGGCGAGATTTATCCAGGTATTATTTTACAGCCGAGAAGCATTCGAAAACAAGAAGATCGAGAGAAAAGTATTGAATTAACTATTGAAACCTTATTGAAATTAGCTGAAGAATATCAAACGACTAATATCAATGATTTACACGACAAAACAATAGGAGATCAGAACGCAAGCGATCGTTTGAACAAAGAAAAAGGAAGTTTCCCGATATTAACTGCAAATGGAGGTGATCGTGTGAGACATCAATACTCTAAACAAATACCGAGGGTGAATATTCAGCATCAGTTAGAACAGCTAGTGAAAGTACCGCAAACAGAACTGCACAATAGTAATTGGAACGATGAGAATTGTCCCATAACAGAAGAAAGTTTAAGAAATATGCAGGAAGATTTTTCTTCAATGCCATCTTGTTCAGAAAAATCAATAATTTTTCTATTGTATTATCTTTCTTTAAAATTAATTAGTAACCCGATAGGTTTAGATCGTACTGTCGAAGTACCTGATCAGATAAAAACTAAAATAGACAAAGAATTTGAACATTTAAAGGAGCGATTAAAGATTGAAGAGGAAAACTCTAAAGAAATTCGCAATTTTATTCAAGAATTGACTGTAGATATAAAACAGGAGAATTGGAGAAATGGTTTGATTCTATTGAGAAAAATTTTTAAGAAAATTAGTCCATTGAATATACATGAATTATTTCGACTTATTAAGAAAGTGAACAGCACAGTATATACAATAAAGAAGAAAGATATTATTTTTTTTCTCGGATTAACTGGTTCAGGTAAATCAACTACAATTCATTTTCTTGCTGGCTCAAAAATGATTGAAATCGAAGTCAGAGGTTTATATCATATTGCACCGGTCGAGATAAACAATCCAGATCTAAAATATATAACAACTTCACCATTTGTTAAATCCGAAACTCGATATATTACATCAGTTGAAGTGAAATTGAAAAACACAAATGGATTGACCAAAGAAAGTATTATCCTATGTGATAGTCCAGGATTCGAAGATACTAGTGGACCCGAAGTAGATATCGCTAATGGATTAGGTATTGTTAATGTAATAAAAGGATGTACAAGTGTTAAACCAGTTGTAGTAATTAGTTATAAAAGTATAGGAGATAGATTGCAAGGTCTAAAGAATCTAATTCATATCCTATCGACATTGATTCCAGGTATTCGAGATCAAATTGAAGCTTTCTCTTATATATTTACAAAATTTCCTGAAAAAGAAAAGGATACGATTCATGCATTCATCAAGGAGATTCATAGAAAATTGAAAGACGATGAAACATCAGATAAAAGCTTTATGTTTTTATTAGAAGATATTCTCCAGAAAACACGAAAAGGTGCACGAGTCTTAGATCCGATCAATGATAAACCTGAAACGATCAATTGAATATTCGATCTGCAACTGAGCGTTCAGAGTATGAGTTAGTAAAGTATAGACTTGATCAATTAAAATGTTTGAATGATCTGCTAGGTCAACATGATATTGAACAAGTTTATAATGATTGTCTTCGACATATAAATAGATATCTGTCTGAAGAGTATGAAAGAGGTATTTCAGCTATGAAACGTTGCTTAATGAGTCAGACAAGCTTGAACGATGAGGATATTCGACAGTATCAAATATGTATTGATCATGCTAAGTTAGCCAAAGAAGTACAAGAAAATCATTTAGGAATAGAAGTAATTAGTAGTACAGCATTTATTGAAGATCTTAACAGACAAGTGGATTTGATGCTTTTAGATGTAAGAGAAAAAGATGTCGATGATATCTCAATAAGAATGAGTCTCGAGAAAATAAAGACTATTTTGAATGCTTTTCCAGATCTGGATTCGAAGAAACTTGATAATATTTGTCAAGTTCTACTTGAAAAACTTGATTCTCTTGTTGTTTCATTCAAAAAATCAATTTCATCAAATAAATTTGATGAGGCTGCTAGTCATATCACAAAATTATATAGAGCAATAGATGTTTTGCAAGATCATTTAGATTGAGAAGAAATAAAAGCTAAATATGTACAACTTAAAGAATATTTTCTGCATCATGTCAACGATTGTTTGGGTAAACTAAAGTATATTTTTACTCAAATGAAGTTAGATAAAAATGATATAGATATTATAAATAGATGTGTATGTATGTTAGAAAATGCTAAGAACACATTCAATCTTCAATCACACATCTTTGAAGAAGAAATTAATAAACTTTATGAAAATCTTCTATCAAATATCATGATTTACTTTGAAGAAATAATAAAAAGGATAAATGTTGAACTTGAAAATGAAAATAGTTTTCATGTACTAGAACAACTTCTCATCGAATTAGATTTGATCAGACAAATTTCTACGATTAAGTTGAAAACAATGGAATCCTATTATATTATTTTGGAAAAAGTAATTAGATATATATATGAAGCTAGACGTGATGTTGAAGATTTATTAAAATCTTTATTTCGACGAGAAGAAAATATTAATTATAATAAACTTAGAAAATGTTTATTAAATCTAAAAAGTGTTGAATGGATAGAAAAATATCGAAATGGAATATATTCAGATGTAATACATAATGTTGAAGAACAAATTATTGAACATGTAAAACAAATGAAAGATTCTGCTATGGAAATAAATATAGATCTTGACAATTTTGATAAAATTGAGCATGTATATCAAATAATATTACAAATCAATACAATCAAATGTCTTGAAAAATTTATTCCTGATGTAGTTAAAGACATAGATGAAGTTAATAATTGGTTTAAAGAGATCACAAATAAAGAGTCGTTGAAACATTACATCATCATAGTGGAAAGTTAGCTAATAGAATGATATGAGTAGCTCGTCTTTGTGAAAAGGCTAACCAATGCCGATTAGAAAATTTCATTAACATTATCGAAGTTGGATTCAAAATTTCAAAAACTTCGGTTTAAGAAGTTCTTTGTTCAGATTAAGAGTAGATATTTTGGATCCGATGGCGACTCATGAAGATCTTACGATTATATCATATGAGTGAGGGTCTAGACATCGTGAACAACGTAATGACATAATATGTAATTGATCTTGAATGTATTTATTATTATTAAAGAGACGTTTAATGTAGAAAAATGGAAAGAACAAAAGTATGAGTTTGTAGACTTTCATAAAGTTGAAAAAGGCTTTCATTATTTAGATACTTGTAAAAATATTCGTTCGTTATTTACAAGTAATTGTATATTTGTTCTTAATGATTTAGAAGAATTTATAAGACACTATAGTACTTATATTCAACAAGAAATGGAAAATTCTTTTGAAACTATCAAACATAGTCAAAACGAAGATAAGAAAGAAATATGTGAAAAAGTTCGAATATTATCAAATCGTTTACGAGAATTATTTGAAATTAAAACAAAATATTCTCGTGTTTGGTCTTGTTTTTCAAATAAAAATATGATTAAATACTGGCAAAATGAGTTATCATACTATTTAACAGATTTATCAGATGAAATCGAAAAAATAACGATCACAAAACGAATCAACACGTTGAAAGATAAGTTAATGATAGTAAAAGCGCTAAGTACTTTAGATAGATTTCGAGAAGATGAAAAATTTATTAATATCTATCATAAATATCAAAATATATTTTTCATTCAAATCAACGATGCTCAAAAACAAGTACTTGATGCTATTACAAATAACGATTATGAACGAGTTGCTTTCGAAATTAAAGCATTACAATTATCCAATGAAATTGGAGAATATTTTTACCAACAAGCTAAACAAATACTAAATAGTAGATTACACAATTTGATGGAAGACACCAAAACTCACGTAATTATACTTGGAAATAATCTAGAAATAAAAGAAATAAAATTTATAGTAGACAATTTAAGACGAATTCAAAGAGCACAACAATTTGTTTCAGAACATGTTAATGAATTGACTGAATTAGATGCATATGTCATAGAAATTAAAATTTTGATCGAAGAACGAATAATTCGTTTCTTAGAAGGCGTTCAAGTTCTTATTAGTATTCACTATTTCTGTAAAGTAGATCAGAAATTAGTTTTAATAATATTAGTACGTAGTTTATTAGGAAATTATTGCACAGAAAAAGTTTTGAATCGTATGGAAGAAGTCAAACGTTATCAAGATATTGTTCTAACCAAAGATATCATTGAAAAATATTCAAACATGGATATAACAGAATATAATTTGGATCCACCCACAAATTTATTTGCAGAAGTCGGAGAATTCAGTAATACTAATCCATTATACTATGGAGCATTGAATAAAATCAAAGAAATCATTGTGAAGAAATTCAGAGAAGAATTAAAACAAGCGACATTGGTACAGCCTCCAAATCTAGAAAATAATCATATCAGAAGATTTGAATTAGCAGTTAAGTATCTACCAGAAACGATTAGGATTGCTCTTGAAATAGATTTAAAACACTGTAAAGATGATATTAATCAATTGATTCAAAATAATAAAAATAAATTGAAAACTACAGTTCACCTTAATTGACATTCCTCTCTTTGTATTACTTACTTTAGACAACTATAGCAGTTTTCTTGCTTTCCAATAACAAAACCATTCAGAATTTCTATTAATTATAAGTCATCACTTTATTTAATTAGTCAGATAGACAGATTTATGAAAATGAACTTTGCAATATTCAAACAATGAGTGCACTTATATCTATCAATATGTACAAGGACAACACGACAAGATAAAAATATCAATATTCTCTTACTGAAAACAGTAGTGAAATAAAATAAGATTTGTTTTTTTCCAGTATACTTTTATGAGAGTATCAAGATACACAGGCATTTGATAAAAAAAAAACTTTTTTTTTGATGTTTCTTACTCATTCAGAATAGCATAGTCATGACTTCAACGGATCATTGAAATTTTTCATGCTATGTACCAGAAAATAGAGAATTAAAAGCTGAATAAAATAAGCTACTTACATATACGATGATTTCAAGCGGCTTAAGTTTTACAAAGCCAACATAAGACAGAAACATCTCTTTTTTCAGTCTAAAAAGTCCCGCGTACAATAATGCATTTCAGCCATGATTCAGAATCATTATGCAACTTTTTATTCTCTATAAAATATTATGAAGATGATTAAGTTAAACTTATAACAAATAAAATGCATTTTTTTCGAAGAAAGTCAATTAGAACAGTGTTTAAAAGATAATGCCAATCGAACAGGAGTATGTTGTGCAATATAAGATATATATTCTTCATTGGACTCATACATACTGATAGATTTAGTGACTGAAGAAATTCTAAGAAAGGTCGAAAGAGATTTAAAACGAAACGAAATTGTTGACTAATAGTTTGAAAGTATGAGATCGAGTTAAATCATACTACTAAATAGTTCTGTTTTGTTGTGTACTTTCACTACTTATTCCTACTATGCATCAGTGTTTTCCATAAGAACCTTGGACTATGTGTATTACTTAATTGTATTTTGTCGTTGTCAAGTACATCGGTGCTTTGTTGTTTTTCGATTATAATCATGAATAAACGATCTTTGTAAAAAGATTTATCTCACGATACATTCAAGTAAAATTTATTTAAAGCTATTCAAGGTTTCCCTTAACAAATCTATAACTTTTTATGAATTATTATGGATGATATCGACGCTAAAGAAAAGGCTCACTACTTATCCTATATTTATGAAAAGTAATAAGTATTATTTATTCGACTAGTGCTTCTATACTATGTTCATTATTGTAGCAAATCAAATTTACTTTCTCCTTGTTTCTTACACATACATTCACAGTGTTTGTTCGATCACGGAGCAAACGTGTGGCTATATTGGTGTAGGCATGCTTTCTATTTCGGTATCATACCAAAACATTTTTCGATTTAGGATTTCGCCTATCACTATTATGCTAATGAGGGTGTGGGTATGAGTGTTGATGCAGATATGGGTATCGGTGTGAGTGTGGGTGTTCTTCGTGTAGTCCGCATCCACACTCACACCCACAGATCCGACGCCACACCCACACTCAAATCCGTACCCACGCCCACGCCCACATCCACACCCTCAAGGACGACTAACATATCATGCATTCTCCGAGTGATATTAAATTATCGAAACATTTTGAGCATCGAGAGGACGTCTACAATGCACCTCGATATAGTGGAGCTATTTGAAATCAAGTGGGGATTATTGTAATTTTATTCTTTTCTTATCGAGGCTAGATATAAATGTTAAACGATAGAAAGAAGTGTATGTAACTATAAATTTACTTGTTCTTTCACTTTCTATGACTTTTGATAGTTTAATATCATTCAGACAGCAATTGATGTGTTAGTCGTACTGCGACAACTCATTGGTTAGAAGACTGGTCGGCATAGCCAGTAACCATATCATGGGTTTCGTTCGCAAACGAAGCATATCATTTATTTTGCTGAATGGTATTCAATGATCGAAAGTCAAAGGAAATGAAAGAATAAGTCATGCTATAGTCACATATACGTCTTTCTATCCTTTAACACTTATTTTGGGTGTGGGTGTGGATGTGGATGTGGGCGTGAATATGGATTTGAGGGTGGGTGTGAATGTGGGTGTGGCGGCGGATCTGTGGGTGTGAGTGTGGATGCGGATTACAAGACGAACACCCACACCCCAGCTTCAAAGAAGCTGCGCTAACGAGCTTTTTCACGGTTATTCTATTATTCTCTAGCCTTTGGAATGGCATTATAGATATCGATGCAGACTACATCTTTATCAATGCACTACGTCGGAGTGTATATTTCAGAAAGAATCCATGTACATTAGCCATTGTTATAAAATAAAACCATCTAATTTGATGTTCCTTTTACTGTTAAAAACACTAAGTACCATTTTGTCATGCAAAGTGTCTTATTAAATAGTATCCAATTCTTTTTAAAAGAGGTCTTATCATGTAATAAAGTTGGTCCAGCATTAGCTAATATACCGGTTATAGTAGAAAGTCCAATATATGGAACAAAAGTGCAAAGACTTTTCAATTTTGCTGCATCAGGAATGATGATATCAATAATTTTTTTGCAATTGGTTTCACAACATAATATTTGTTGTTAAAAAAAAGATGATCTTTCAGTACGAAGTTGCATTGATGGTGTTACAATTGTTGAAGGTATGATCACTCATGTAATTGTTAAATTTTTTTGTACAATTTATTCAAATTATCTTTATGGTTGTTTTTGCTGATGTGATTTCTCAAGTTTGTTCTATTTGCAAAAAACCAGAAAAATTCTTTGGCTTTTCGTTTTCAGGTAATAATTGAAGAGCCGGTTATATTATCCATGGAATTAATTTTTATTCACGGCAATTGTGAAATTAGTTATGGCAAGAGAAAAGAAAAGAATATCGAACAAAAAATGTGTTTTTTTGTGAAGATTTATTAATATCTGCAATGTGTGAACAAGATGTTGAAGTGATAGAAGTATCACTTCGAGCATTTTTCCAATATTACTTAATTCAGATCAGTTACTTTATAAAGATGTTCTTCGTTGACTTATTATTCTTTCTTTAGGTGTAAAATTGTCAGAAGAAAGAATGCCATTACTTATGCATTTCTATGTAATTTTATCCAATGAACACAATATTGTTGAAGCAATGCGATATATTGTTTCTCGAGATGTTTTAGAATTTATATAAATATATATGTATTTATTATATATTTAATTTAATTTTATCAGTATTAGTTTATTTTAAAGTGTAGTTTGGATTTGTCATTTCCGGTGCGTGAAGTTGTGGCTGTTTTACTTTAGTTACTATACTCATTGCTCTTCGAAAATAAATTAGTTCTAGTGCTGTACGATTTTTTTCTCTCTCTTTCTCTCTCAGTGTATTGTCGAATTTAATTGAAAGCAAATTTTGCTGTTTTACAATAAATAATTTTAACATTAAAAGTATGTCTAATAAACCAAATAATAATATGAATTAACTTTAAAAATTCTTTTCAGAAAATTCGATAATTTTGTTTCGGAATAATAACCATTCTAATTGATAAGACTACTTTTATGTTAAAAATTAAGATTGATGTAATAACGAATATTTGCTTGAAAAAGAATGTGTAATAATAATTGTAAAGGAAAAATGTTCAACAAATGCATAATTAGATGACAAAGAATGCCCTCTATTAGTCATCATGCATATTCGTTTGAACAACGACCAGCAGGCCATCACAATCAATAGAAAAAATAAAATAAAATAGTTTTCCTGATTAATTTTTCTCAAATGATTATTTTCGAACTATAGCTCAAATCACTGTTTTAGATCAATATAAAAGCAAAAAGAAAAATAATGTCATCGAATGAAGATGAAAAAGACCATCAAATACAACAGATGAATGATGCGATTAAAGCATTGGGTATTGATCCATCATCTCTTGATCCACAACAGAAAAAAGCAAAAAAATACAAAAAAAAGTTGATGAAGAACAACATTCATTTGAGGTGCACAATATTCATAAAGGTCCAGCAAGTTTGTATTTCTCTTAAAATAACTTGAAATTCTTTTCACTATTTTTCAGAGTAATAGTGCAACAACAACTTTACCATTGCCATTATCATTTAATAGTGATTCATGTGATCTTGCAGAAGATTCTCCAATTTGGTTAAATGAACAATATATTAAAGATCATCATCTTGAAGAAGAAGTTTTAGAAGATGATATCAATATGACGATGGAACAACGTGATAATTCAACTCTACAAAGTGAAAAAAAAACGAATGATGATGGTTTACTACAAACAGATTTAAGTAAATTTCTCAAATTGTCTTACGATTAATTTTTCCACACTAATAAAAAATTGTTGATTTGAATAAGAAATCTTTCAAATAGTAGTGTATATATTAGCTGAAAGTGTATATTTCAAAATATCTCATTATTAAGCGGTCTTGAAATATTAAAGAAATGATTTATTTTTTTCTACTAATTGAATATGTATATATATGTGAATTTATTCACAGACATAGTTTTCGTTTGGTTTTGCTAAGAGGGGAAGAATTTAAGGAAGAAGGTCTCCCAAGGTTAGAGAGAAATGGTTTTTGTATTTTTTTTATAGTAAAATATATTTTCAGCTGGAACCTATGTTGATGATCTCATTATCAGTCTAATCAATATTTTCTTCGCTATTTTTCGTCTTAATAAATTAGTCGAAACAAATTCAGATCAATGAAAAAAAATTTATATTTTTCTGTACAAAAATGGTTCACACCAATAATTTTGAAAGTAATGTTCTTTCAAAAAATTATATAGTGTTTTGCCTATTTTTCATCATCACTACTATTATCATTTTTGTGTATGTATAATGCGTTTCAAAATGTTTGCGACATAGATTGTTTTCCGAATATCTCTGCACAGACAAAAGATAAAATTTTAATTCTTTTTCAAAAGATACTTTGTAAAAAGTTCTACAAAAACTATAAGAAGGAATTTCTATTGACTGCTTCTGATGATTTCTTCTATACTTACAATAAAAAGCATACATGATAGCGCTACTTTCCACAATATT